ATCGACATGATCGTTCGCAAGATAAGCCTTAAGATCCTTGCGGTTCGTCTGCACAGAATGGGTCAGAGCATCGCGTCTGTCCCTCTCGAAATCAAAATTCACGCGCTATTTAGCGATTACGCGACCCATCTCGTGTTGGTTGTAATTATGATACAAACGACTTGGAATAGGTTCTTACCCACGTCCACATCCTTTAGTGGACTCATACGGTGGTCAAGTCTTCCTTGCGGAGCTTATTTCTAACCACCGTGACGATTCAGAATCATGGACGACTAACCTCGTCCTCTCAGCTGATGGTGGATGTCCTGGGTGTCGCCGAGCAGTACGACGAGACACACACTTTGATGATGGACGGCCATCGTGTAACGTACGCCCGAAGCGTTCGTAAAGGATTGTGAAGTCTAAATATACTCGTACATCTCAAACAAGATGCGCGCCCTTTAATAAGGCTGCTTCGAGGGGCTCACCTCACTAGGGACGCGAACAGAGCCGTCAACGAACTCTAACAATTATCTCCCCACGAGTGGCATGGTAGTTGTGGTAAAGTATTTATTCAAATCTATCAACTCACAGTATGAACGTACAAACATAACAATCTCCGAGTTAAGTCGGCGATGCGGGCTAGTACGTTACGATAAATACCTACGCGGTTTGCCCCTTCGGGTTCGGTTGTGGTTTTTGCTAACTGATTCCTTACAACCGATTATACAGAAGCCTGCCAGAGCCCAGCAATTTCTAACTTCTCTCTTCTTGTGACTCCACACCCACGGGTGGAAGCCGACGCAGTACGCGCTCTTACAGGTCACCAGGCGCAGTTCACTCCCGACTAGAAGAATACAGTGTCCTTGGTTGAAGACCCTCCGGCTCGTCACTCGACGAGTCTTTGGACAATTCCGTCCATTACGTCACTGGCTAGCCCGTTCTTGAGTCTTAAAGCGGTACCGTCTATTGGGTAACTGGCTCGCCGTGCGACGAGACTCCAAAGCGGTTCCGTCTACTGGGTCACTGCTTGACGTGCGACGAGACCTAACACGGTCCCGTGACTGGTTCAACCGCTCGCCGTGCGACGAGACTGATCTTTCGCTAGTAGCGAGCGTTACCCAACCCGGGTGTTTTCTAAACTCTTGACGCTACCAGTCGATACCTCTACAAGCTATGCCTCTCGCGGTTCGACGGCAGGCATAATGTATCCCGCATAGGGACCGTGGTCGTACGCTATTCTTGGACTTAGAAAATTCTTCTTTGTATCGGGTATCTTCAATTCTCTCCCTAATTTAAAAGGACTCTTGACTGGTTCTCCTTCATCCCCCATATTCGTCCTATACTTATACCTAGTGGAATAGACTGGTCATCATCTTGCTTTCTCGTCGGGTCTTCCCAGGTCGATTCTTGGCTCGTCGAGTCCTTTCACGTCGTACCTTTCCCAGTCGAGCCTTGTATCGTCGAGTCTTGGCTCGTCAAGTTTTTCCTCGTCGAGTCTTCCCACGTCAAGTCTTGACTTGTCAATTATTCCCCGTCGAGTCTTGGCTCGTCGAGTCTTCCCACGTCAAGTCTTGACTTGTCAATTATTGCCCCGTCGAGTCTTGGCTCATCGAGTCTTTCCACGTCGAGTCTTGGCTCGTCAATTCTTTCCTCGTCGAATCTTGGCTCGTCGATTCTTGCATTGTCGAGTCTTGGCTCGTCGAGTCTTGGCTCGTCAAGTCTTAGCTCGTCGAGTCTTGGCTTATCGAGACTTGTCTCGTCGAGTCTTGGAGCGTCGACACTTGTCGAGTCTTAGCTCGTCGGACCTCGGATAGTCGAGTCTTTCCTCGTCGAGAGTTGGCTCGTTAAGTCTTTCCTCGTCTAGTCTTAACTCGTTGATGTTGTAATATGCCGATTACGATGTGCTCCGGATTCCCTCATCAGGTTCTCCACTGCTACAATCAAGCCGAAAGTAGAGAATAACAACGTTCGTAAATTTCCTGTATCACGCTTGATTTGTCGACCCTTGAGTCGTTGACACTTGATTCGCCTACACTTGGGTCGTCGACAATTGGGTCGTCGACATCTAGCTTGCCGACCTCGAAATTACCGACCCCCGGTAATCCCACTTGCATAGATATTGCTTGACAGGAAATCTTTGTACATCACATACTCGTGCCTCTCGAATAATCGGTTCAATTTAAACCGATCACCGGTTGAAGACTTCTTCTACTTAAACTTATTGCAGGCTGCAACAAGATTTTTGGCCAAGCTTCATGGGCAACATTTTCAATGTTGCCGGGAAGAGTTCCTTCCCTGCATAAACAAAGCCTTTTTGATTGCGGTTGCCGTAGTATTATCGATGTCTGATAAAGACATCGATGTAAAACTCACATTCAACGCGAAAATCACCCGCATTAACATCAAGACAATGAAGCCTTGATGAATCGGGGAGTGGGATCCGACAACGCCTAGTGGTATAACCATACCACTTCTTCATATTGCTTTGATAAGGCATCCATGGCTTGAATTTAGGAGCATAACGTAACATCTTACGATCCTGCTCCTCTTGCGCAGTGCCGACATAAAAATGGCGCTGTGATCGCCGCAATCACCGGGATTATTACGGCTACGGTAAATAGGTGAAGAGTCATCGGTTTTATTTTGATGACTAACGCCCATATGTTTTGCACTCGCGTCATATTATTTGGTCCCGAGCAGTTCGATCTCCGCGACTAGTACTCCGACTCGTCGGGTAAGCGGAACATTGTGTGGCGCAAAGTTTTTTTGAGACTGCCACGAGGCGCAATAGTCGTCGATTCCTCACCCACAGTCTTACGTCCGGGCTTCGCGGGTGACTTCAAGTAGGACGATGGCTTAATCGCTCGAATAGAAAGCCTCTATCTCGGGGTCGACGTCCATTGGACTACCACCCGAGCAGAAGCCGCGGATAAAGAAGCTGCTCGTTGATGACCACGTGCACCTGCAACATTGGATGTCGCAGGCTGCTTATTGGCAGCAGCAGTCGAAAAACGTCTAATGACGATTCCTGAGTTGCTTGTTTGCCGTGCAAACGCATCCGAGCAGATGCTCCAGAGGCGGCTTGGTTCGCGTAGCGCATTGACGGACTTGTTATTCACTAAAAGTTGGAATGAATTGGGAAGAATTAAGAAGTGCTTCCTTTCTTACAGAGCGACCAAACAATGGTCACTCTTTCATCATCCAATCGATTACTCACTGTAGTGGCTGATGATCAACGGGGGTGATGAAACGGGCTCACCCCGTTACATATAATTGATACGACTCTATCCATTTTGGAATAATATCTATCTCGAAAATATTTAATCGACATTACTCGAGAAGAGGTAATGTTGGCGGCATGTTTCCCCCGAGGCTAGTATCCGCGGGTGCTCCACTTATATGTTGATGTCGACCCTACATCAACCAAATTAAATTCTAATTGCCACTGGTCGCGTGCAACGGGTGGCGAGCAAGAAACCCATACAGGATATTTTAGTTTAATACAGTTAGATCAAGACGGAGATATTTTATTTAAAAAACTTAGCTATGGTAAATACAGTTGTATTTTTCCCAATTAATAAAGCTTTTTTGTTCTGTTTACTTCATTGCGATTCCTCACGCGACGAGTACGTGACGTCGGGAGTACGCAGCCTTGTGAATTATTTACGCAAGGTCTTACCAGTCATCTCTTAAGAGCTTGCCCCGTGACATTCGATATGGGTGCTTTACACCGGACATCTCCGTTTACATTTAATAAAAAGAGCTATATATACAGTTTATATACACTGGCCTCTTTTCAAGCGAGTTTTGTTCCTCAACTTTTAACTTACTCGTTTATCCTCTGTCTTAAGGCTTCCGTCTTGAAGTATTTACATGGCGCCTTCGCTGCTCTTCTTCGGTTTGAGATTGCGCCTTAAACTTCCGCCTTGGACTTTCGCATGAGATATTGTGGTCACGATCTATACCAAATTTTGCGTCGTATGCGTAGTCATAGAATGCGGATAATAATCTTACTGAATGATAGACTCTTTCACAACTCCGACTACAGCCGTTACAACACTGCTACCTGTTATCTGCTTAGGAAGATTGTAGAGTGAGACATAAGCCAGCTTTGGAACGGACTATGTTTTCGGGTCCGGGGGAAGTGATGCTACATCACCGAGTGTTTATCGCTAGCCTACCTATATTGCTCGTTGATGCCGACTGGGTGTCTTTACTACCCATTTTTGGATGCTGCTCGTTCCGACCTACAAACTAGCGTTGATCTACTGCTTTATAACTCGGAGAAGCTTACTCATCCACTCTGCCATTTTCGATACGAAATGATGAGGTACCACGAGTTGGTTCATCATTGCCGGGTACCTTAGACTTATCCAGCTGTCTCGAGTTCGATCTCTGTCGGCTTCCTGGTTTGCCCACGGATTCAATGCTTCCGAACTGCTCCACTTACTTCAGATTTACTCTTCTTATGGATGTACTTGCTTTTTTCTCGGGTAAAAATAGTAACTTACCATTCCTCCTAAACGCCTTTGTAAACACATTACGATGGTGCGGTACGTTGTTAAATTAATAGAGTAATGAAAATTATATTCCGTTTGGCTGTGCGCAACGCTGCGAAAGCAGCTTATGTGGTACTTCGTCAGCGGATAGACGATTTGAGTCTCAAGGCTATCTACGTACAGTAGTTCTTCTTTTAGTTGCTATCGTTCTCATTTGTTGTCACCAGTCGTCAGAAAATATGAAGAACGCTAATGTGCACCCAACAAGTTGCTAAGTAGCGTTACCAATCAATTGCCTTATTTGTCACGCCATTGCGTCGGCCATCATCATGCTGTGGGTAATGTATCCTCTCAGTAGTAGACAATATGACAGCCAACAAACAATTGTCTTCGCATCTAGAGCCAAGTGGCACGCGCATAGCCCATGCTGCTAGGTAGAGAAACTCTCCGGCTGCAATCCAAACACTAGACATTTCTTTGACTGCGCAATCGACTTCGTTTGATGGCTTACGCGAGCAATCACCGCAAAAACTCAACTCGTTTCACGATGGCGTCCGTATCGCGGTGTGCACGCATCGAGGCGAAATCGCCACGAGTCACAGCAGCATCGACAGCAATACGGTTGACAACGTCCTCAGCCACCAAGTTCGTGACCAGGAGGTCATCTTCAGCAGACCACATGCCTGATGGCATTGTACCTTTCAGAAAACTTCTGGCCATATCGACGTCGCCACTACAATAGTAAATAGCGTGTATCACTGCCGGCATGTCTTGATGTGTGTCAAATTGCAGCTGGCAGATAATGTGATCGGCTTCCTCGTCTGTAGCGTGCTCCACTGTCTTTATTGTTCGCTGCGGCACACTGCAAAAGCCACTACTTTCTTCTCTCGCGACATCACTTGCTGACTCGTCAACGGCGTTCCACCGCGTAACCGCAGGTACAGTACTACTTGCTTGGCTTCCTGGCGAAGAAAGTGTCGAACTAGGCTCAAATAGCCTCTGCAGCGTTCTCCTCTTTGTATGATCGTTGGCCAGCTCGGCCCAGGCACTTCGGAAGAAGACGCCATCATGTTCACGAGTCTCGCTTTCAACGTCGTTAGCGTTACTGGTGTCCGTGTCACAATCGGATGGACTTGGATGTTGGCTGACAGCGACCCCGATGCTTGTTGTTCCGCGCTTACGCTTTTGCTGCTTCTCGTCTGTACCCTGTTCTCTTTTTTCTGGGCCTCTCTGTGTAGCATGGGCCACCAAAGTGTCCACTGCCGGCGTGACAAGGCCAGACTGACCTGGGATTGCGTCCGTCGGTGCTGGAAAAGTGATACCTCTGCATGTCGTCGGGACACTATCTCTTTGGATCCGCTGAGCAATTCCTAGTGGGGACTGGGGCTTCCTGATACGCGTCCTCTTGTCTCTTGCACTGCATTTCTCCTCCTTGATCGTCGGCGGTTGGGTCTCCCTAACCGGCATCTCAGGTGTCACAGCTCCGCTATGGCTACTTTCGGAGCTCAGAGGTTGCCTCGACGCTTGCGTCAACGTCGTGTGCTCTAGCGTCGGGACATCCTGCAGCGATGTTCCACGTGAGATCGCGCGTGTTCGAGGCGACGCTTTCTCCTTCTCCAGTGCGCCTGCCGGTTTCTTCTCCAGCATCCTCGATCTTACCAACGCCTATAGACCAGCCACAAATTTATCAGCCACGTGGCATGTGCACTGCCAGTATCAACAGCCGTCATGACGAGCACTTACCGCTGCTTTGGCCAAAATAAGCCGCTGCTCCGCGGGCGTCTTTCGCTGCAACTGCTTCCTAAAGTGCTCGTGCATGCTCGAAGCCGAGTGGGCCGTCACGTGCTCGTTCTCGGCGAGTCTCCACGCGCTCTCCGGAACAGGTTGCATGGCCTTCCAGTCCCTCGTTTTAACAAAGTGCAGCATCCTCGCGTCGTCTTCCACTGTATACTTGAGCCGACCATGTCGTGCGGGCTCCACGGACGTCTCTCCTCTCTCCTTCTGGTCGCTGTTGTTCATTGCAAAGATTGTGCCCGAGTACGAGGGCAACTGCTGCAGCGCCTGAGACGCGACAGAGTCTTTGACAAAGTCTGTCGAAATCCACTCGGGATGACGCGCGTCCAGTGCGTCCAAGTCGACGAGTTGGACGGCGCTTGCAGTACTGGAAGAGACGGTGCCGCCCTCTTGCTCGATGAGCTGCCTGAGCTCGACCCTGTCGCTTGCCGCGAGCGTCTGGGAGAGGTAGAACCGCATGTGCTGGAACAGCGGCGCCATGATACTGTGGTGTGGGATACGCTGTGACCCGGTAGGCTGTTTCAGAGGGTGGGGGTTTCGACCAGTCAAAGGGCGTGTAAGTGAAGCCATGTGATGCAGAGTTGGACGCGCTCCAAGAGCTGCGTCGTTTCCAGTGGCTACAGCTATCGTCCGAGACGAACATGTGCGAGGAGAGAGTGATTCGTTCTCTGGAGAGAGAGAATATCGATACGTAGATGTCATAGCAGACACGCCATGATGGGTCGACGCCTTATATCGCAAGGCACGATGACTCTTGGGATGGTTTGAGGAATACGCTGAGTTTGGTCCAGAAGGTTTGTAGTCAATAGGATAGCGCCGAGTTGAGAGCTCTCGCGTGGTAACACTGCGGTCGCGATCTGTAGTGGGGGGGGCAACACGCATCGACCTGCGTCCAACAACGGAGTCATGCACCACGCAATTCTCTCCTTTCAACAGATCTAGTATGATAAAAGGCAAGAACTGCACAGTGAACAACCTTCTCTGTTGGTGCGTGCCAGACCCGATTTGGTCTTCCGCAAGAGGCGATTCGATCGACTGCTGGCTTTCCAGAACTCGTGTGTGACCCACCCATCGCACTCATCCTGGTTTCCATAACCTGGTGGCAACTAAGGCGTCAACCCGACAATGCGTGTCCGCTGTAACATCTCCAGATTCTACAGCGTAGTCCCAGGCGCAGTGTAGTCCGAGGCGGGATATGGGAGAGACGGTCGGCAACAGCGAGCGGAGGCTTCACCTTAGCAACCGTTTGGCCCACTAGTCTTGATCTTTGCGAACGTTCGGATCATGTCTACTGACCTGACTTCGGCTGCTGCTTGACTTTGGCTGCTGCTTGACTTTGGCTCTGTACTGGCCGACTGCGAGTGCGATCACGTGGATGTAAATGTTTGATAGCATACGACCATATGGCGACAAGCTACGCTTTTTGCAGCGATAGCGTCCGCAGTGACAGCTGGTTGAAAACGTTCCCTGCGATAGCCTCTTTTCATTCAACTTGCTTCCTGCATCTGCTGAACAGATCCACCTCATCCAGGGTCAACAGATACTGATCTTTCATGGACGACAACTCGAATGTGCTGCATTACGCGATGCATTAGTCGGACTCCGAGTTGTTGTAGCCTACACAGCAGCCGAATGAGCATTAGCAAACTAAGGACAACAAACAGCTACTAGTCAAGGCGCAAGGCAGTGCTTCGAATTGCTGCGATGCAGCTATCATCTACGTGACAAATCGTGTAGTAGCTTCCAGCGCAAATTGCCAGCAAGCAAGACAACTGTGAAAAAACAAGAGACGGAACGTACTCAACTGTTGCACGCAAGAGACTAGATATTTAGTCTTGGTATCCACGCAGCAGTCGAGACAATTGCTTCGCGGCGGAAGAGCCCTATACTCTGCAGCTCTGACGCACTTTTTGCAAGAGAGTATCTTTGCTTTCCAGCGATTCCAGCATAAACACACGGGTTTCTGTACAGCAGACAAAAACTGAATAGTAAGTCCGAGCCACGGCATCAGCATGGTCAGTTGCGCTTTTCGCACCTTCGCCTCCGTGGCCATTTACCCCTGACACCGAAAATGAAAACACCTTGTCGTTGCGATTGTCAGTGATAGCTTGTGGCTTGTCAAACTGCGTGCACACACATGACCGTCAACACAGGCATTCCACACCACGTCACCAACAACTTCATCTTGTAAGACACCTACCACCAGCTGTAAATATGGCTGTGAGCCTTCTTCAGCATCGTCCTCGCTTTTCCAAAGCAAAAAGCGAAATGGACGATAAACCAGGAAGCAGCTCTATCGCACAAGCGTCAATATAGCGATCTCGACCATCACCAGAAACAATGAGACTTACCTTTGCGTGGCGATCGTTCTCAGCTTTCGTCGAAACGGTTCCAATCCATGATGCGTGGTAACGGAGGCGAACCGCAATTTCCTTGTCCTCTTCTAGTTGCGCTTGACGCCTTTCCAAGTAAACAGCACGCTCGGGCTCGTACAGCTCGATCAGGTCTTGATCAGTGGGAAGCGAAGACAAGTAATTCCAGAGGATCTTTTTCACATGCTTGCTGGCCGGGGCATCGTCCACAAACACAGCGCCGAATTCGGTCAGGCCAAAAACAAGAATTGCCCAGCGACCACGAACCACCGAGAACACTAGCGCCATCGCAGCTACTACAACAAAGGCAGTAGCAGTTTTCCACGGGTGCGTCCAGTTCAAGAGGTTCTCAGCACATGCTAATGCTCCACACGCACGACCGATCTCGGTTTGCAGCTGTTTGACGGTGTCTTTCACCTTCCAAAAAGCATCAAAGAGATTTGCACCGATGGTGTTCGATTTCCCCTTTTGTACCATATTCTCACACACAAACTCAGAAAAGTTGCGCTCCACATGACCGTCAGGCCGCTTTTTGTGCACCGCATTTGGTTCGACCAGTCCCGTCTCCTGTTGGCATGTTGGGTTTAGCAAACCTTTGCCGTCCGGTGACGTCGAGCTTTCGGCGGGAACTTGAAAGCCAATGCGTACAACGAGATAATCACCATCCTGCTTTCCTGGGCTTCGAGTAACAAGTTCTGGGAAACGCTCTTCGGATGTTGGTGTAGGAATGGAAAATAACGGAAGTTGTAGCTCAACCGAATTACTGTCTCGTTCCAGAAGACTTCGAAGTGGAATCGTTGTTGTTGCAGCAACCAAATCTGGTGTTTCTTTTGCCTCTCCAGACAGAGAAATGCATAAATCAAATTGCAGAAGACCGGGGAACGACGTCCACGGCACCAAATCGTCACGACCGGAGCAGTTTTTACGGGACGCTTGGGGGATCGGAAAATAGTAGGCATGGTGATCGACGCCACAGCTAGTGACGGCGGCGGATGCTGGGGCTGTCTCCTTCAAGCTTTGCTGGTGTGCAGAGCATTGTCCACAAGTGCACATCTTTGGGTCATGGCACCACGATACGTTGAAATTTCGGAATGGGGATGTTTTCCGAAGTTTTGTAGCAAGCAAGGGACCAGCGGATAGCAGTGCATTCCTGCGCCACACTGGATACCGGCTTCTACCTGCGACATCGGTCCAGGCAACTGTCGTCTCATCGTAGCCAGAAGGAATGAGTGCCATGTCCCCCGCCGCGTGCTGCTTGTCATTTGGTCGATACTTGATCAAGACATAGTAGCCAAGCTTCGACAAGGAAAAGTCCCTCATTCGCGACTGCGATTCGACGAGAAGATTGTCTGTTTCATGAGAAAGATGTGCTTCATGCACAGCAACATGCAAGTCAGCTAGTGGCCTGTATAGCTTCTGTTGCTCCTCTTGTTCCAGCTCATACTCTTCGTAGCCAATCCACCGTGCAACGTAGGCACCCTCAAGCCGAATGTGCAGTCGATATAGCATGTACACCAAGATAGACCCAAAGATGTAGAACAGCGCGTACTCGAAGTCGGCAAACACACATCCGTACACGAAAAAAGAAAGCATACCGCGGATTTTTTTTTGTTTTTCCACGAAATCACGCTCGCGTACTCGGCGTCAATACCCTGAAAAATCTTCACCGCTCGACCAAGTCGATCCACAGTATTCCGCAGTGATTCGACCGAAAATTCTTTTTCCTCACGTTCGAGAAGATAAGAGTTATTGTTCGCACGTACGCGAAGCAGATCTTTCTTGTGTTCCACATATTCTAGATCGACAAGTACAAAACCGAGTTCTTCGCCAGGCCGAAGTTTCGACCCCTGAGGTAACGACAATTTGTAGCGTTCTTCGTCAGTAAGAATTGGCAGTGCTGCCCACGAATCGTTGATGGCAGCTTGGTTCATTGCATCGTTCAAGCTTAAATGGCGCAGATGATCGCGAAAACTGGTCAGTATCGGGTTTGTTCGAACAAAGCGATCAGCTTCGCGTTGAAGTAGCTGGAAGAGTGAAATACCAAACTGCCCGATGCATTGGTCCGTATTGAAATCAATCACGTCAACACGAAAGACCGAGTTTGGATGCCGGACCTTAAAGCACAAGGTCTCCATGTACATAGGATCGGCACTTTTTAGGACAGGGCTGGTTTCGTGCACGATGCCGTCAAAGCTGAGCCGGCAGTACGTGTCGCCTTCGAAAATATTTTTCGCGTGAAAGTTGTCTCGGCAGTGCTTCGTGCACAAGTGCAGACCACGGAAATTCACGAACAGTTCTCCTGCAGGATGTAGCACACTATCATTTAGTACGCGAAAACTGACGCCACGACGCTTTCGTTTCTCCTGTCCAGCGCTCATCAGTTCTTGTGCGACGCATTCGCACTGTACCGTCGCCTTCATTATGCAACCTTTATGAACGTCAATCCCACAGAGCTCACATCGATAGCCCCAAATACTCTTCAATGCGTTCATGATAGACCGGTTGCCTAAAACAAAGAGCACATGACACAAGTAAGTCCGTCAGTTACGGCAACAACTATATCCAATACCATCGCATTTGACGTACAAACAGCACAAACAGGTATCGCGAGCCCAATGGATTTCAGTTGGTGGACACGGAACTTGTGTGCATTCGCCGAGTTGGTATCTTGTTCCGTTGGTACAAATTTGATCGCAAGCATGATTTTGGGCTTTCCAGTGCTAAGCGTAAGCAGCGAACGAGAAGACATAGTAAACCACCTCTTTGCCTCAATATTCGGGTACCGAAGCAGCGGACTCATATCCACCAATGTGCACGCAATCTGATCATCAGCGAGGTAGTTATAGTTGTACACCTCGACGTCTAGAAGCGGGATTGGTGTGATCGTACTGTTGTACATGTGTGAAAATTGCATCGCGTTGTCGTGGTTGCTGACCCACACTGGGTTCCGACCGCCATTTTCGACCGGTTTCGTCTGCATCGGTTCCTTCCAAGGAAGTAGTGACAGTCTCGCATAAGGCGCCTGCTTTCCAATAAGCTGGATACCAGGCAGTTCCATTGCGCGATGCACTGTAATGTGAAAAGTACCAGGTTTGTTTAAGCTGGACACAGGAGTCTTAGACAGAGCTAGAAACGCGTCGCGCGAGGTGATTTCTGGATGCTGGGAGAGCACGTCGGCGGCAAACTGCGCGCATCCCTGGTGCGTGACAATGCCCATCTTCTTCAGCCGATACATGCTGCTGGACGCATCGTCCGGCCACGACACTTCACACATGTCACACGTTTGCGGACCGTTGCCGTCTTGTGCACTGCTCTCTTCAATCTCGTCGCTCTCAAAGATCGGGTCAACGTCTGGGAACTGGTCCATCGGATCAACTCGATCTGCTTTGGCTGCTCCGTGATGGTGCGTGTGCTCGTCCAGCGTCTTGTGCAGCTTCATGAGCGTCGGGTTCGTTGCGCCAATCTTCTTGAGCTTTGACCTAACAATCACATACAAACACAAGCGCACAGAGAGAGAGAGCGAAAGAGAGAGAGAGAGAGCGAAAGAGAGAGAGAGAGAGAGCGAAAGAGAGAGCGAGAGAACGAGTGAGTCACAAAACAGTAGCGACAGAGTGCGCGTCGAGAGCCGTACAGCGCCGCGCCCATAGGCGTCTTGGCCTTGTTATGCATCATCTCGTCCGCCACTTGTTCGTCCCGCGTGGCAAACTTCTCCTGCAGCGCGTGGAGCTGTTCCGTCGTGCACAGCCGCACGACGTCTCGGTCCGAGATGAACGCGCCCATCGCGTCGTCTCGAGGCACTTCGAGGCCCGTCGACTCGTTCAAAAAGTGCATTTCCTCGTGCTCGAGCACGTTCGGCAGGTCCCATTCGACGGCGAGCGACGTGAGCGACTGCGTCGTAGCGCCCACGACGCGGCGCTTGGCGAGACCTTCGCAGAGCCTAAAGAGGAGACACAAGTGGGTACGTGTACAGAGAAAGAGGTCAGCAAGTGATGCTGCACGGGGCTAACTCGCGGGCGCTCGGACCGGACCAGAAGGCGACAGTGTCGGCGCTCTTCGTGCCGCGGAAACGCAGCTCCATGGCAACTGCAACCGCCAAAAGGAAACGGCGAGGTGGCTAAGTACGTGAGCGAGCGAGCGTACTTAACGAAGCAACCAGCCGGCGAGAGAGGGCACGCACTTACTTCAACCTGATCGACCGACCGATTGATTGATTGATTGATTGATCGATTCATTGATTGACTGTCATGAGTGACGCCGAGACGGTGTGCACCGGAGACTCGCCCCTGTCGCCTTGTATGTGGACGCATCCCGTTGCAGCACAAGTAGCAGCAGCTGAAGTAGCAGCAGCAGCAGTATCCGATAAAGAAGAAGAAGACGTTCCACTCGTAGCGAAGTCGGAGCCAGCGGCCACTGCTCCGCTCTTCCGGAGCAATTGTCCGTACTGCATATGCATTCGATCAACGGACTGGAGAGCGTGGCGCCAACATCCCGACACTCACTTACCTCTTGTATGCATCAGCCCGTCGCTTCGACCGCTCCCAGCGCCTCCCACGCCACGAGCTGCAGCTGTCGCCTGCGTCCCAACTCGATGTCCTTGCGCAGATCAGTGAACTCGCTGACGCACAGTCGCGACAGTCCATTGCAACGGACATACCCACGCGACAACCAAAGCGTTCGAGTGTATGGGGTCCTGCTATGCAGACGGCAAAGCGGACGACGACCGCTCGATTGACTGTGCCCTCCCGAACATCGACAAAGAGGCAGAAGCACGTGCCAAAGCAGTCCGCGCGGTCACAGGCCGAGCGACTCGCTGCCGACATGTTGGACTGGGAGACGTGCAGCGGTACGAACCACAGTCGACGGTATTGCTGGTGTGGAACGATGCAGTTGGATATAATGACGAGCTGGTTGCAATTGTGTGGAGCAGAGGGCGAGTTGTTTGCGCTTGACGGTGAAGATGAGGACGACCTGTGGGTGTACGAAGACATTGTCGACAGCGATTTTGAGACGTGACGCAGCCACAAGTGGCGTGCGGCATAACGTTACAGTCTACTTTCAACGGCAGCATTTATTCGGCATCGAAGAAGACGCTGAAAACTGCATTGGGCATGACGATCTTGGGATCGTCGTGTCAATGGTAGGAATGTTGCGGTCGTGTTTGCTGGAAGTAAACGTGCAAGCTTGTCGTAGTGCCAACAAGAACCTCCTTACGAGGCTACTGTTATTGTAATCGGAAGCGAAACAGCGATGTACGTCAAGTATCTCGTTGGGCGACCGAACAACTCTCTAGAGCTTTTCAGTCGTCCAATTTGGCAGGCAAGAGAGTCATGACGGTATAGCTGCCCAGGCTGTTTTCCCGTCGAGTTTAAGTGGCTGTGTGAGTCGACAAGCTGGCTCGACAATGATCGTAGATGTAAAGCGCTAGGATGGAGAGGATACTATCGCGCCGTCCACGAGCACATGATAGACTTGGCCCAATACGATGCTGATTGTTGCCGATGGATCTGCCTTCGTCTCTACTGGGCACTGATGGAACATGAGATCCTTTGTTTGCAGTCATGGAAACAACTGTGGCAAACCTCATTGCAAGATGATCAATTCGCGTCCAGGATTGTTGGCGCGCCACTTCAGAGGTCGTGCCAATGATAGCTTGAACAAAGACAACTGGACGCGTGACTGGGTGGAGGAAAAGGGAGTTTGGTGCTCCTTTATAGTCTTGCTCTTTGTTTCTGCAGTGCCATTAGTTGAGTCAACGAGGACTTGCTCCTGCGCCGTCGGTCCTGCAACGACACCCCGTTCGGTTGCTCAACGTGTTCATCACGAGGCTGCGTACAAGGCACAATCGATAAATTATTAGACATCTTCCTCTGACCCTAAGCAAACTCCCTGACCCAGTAGCAAGCTACGTTTGCCTTAGCGGGTAGTCGCAATTCTCGACGGAGCTGCTCGTGGGCCGAGCGGTGACATGCGGTACTCCTCCGTTATTCTTGTGCAATAGTCACCGTCAACGCTTGGTGGCGAGCCGTCTGCAGTCGTCACAGACGACAAGTTGTCTGTGTCGACAGGTGGCCCAAAGACCGGGCTTGCAGGCGATAGCGTTCCCAGCGGCGTCACAGGGGACTCCAAGTTCAGCGACACGGCCTGACCAGGCGTATCCGATTCGCCGTGGGCTGCCATGAAGCCCGGGCTCGTTGTATCCACTTCATAGTAGGTGGTACGAAGCAAGCGCGAGAGCATGCCCTTGCAGCAAAAAGCAGATCCAACCGTGCCTACCCGCTTGATCTCCGTGTCCTCCGCTTCCTTCACCTTGCACGTCTGACTGTCCATCGCGATCTTGCGTGCCTTGTCACGCGAGACCGAATTCGCAGCAGCACGTTGCGTGCCCTTCGACGTGCCTTGGTGCGGCGCCACTTCGTATTTCGCATTGAGCATCTCAAACAGCTCCACCTCGCGGCCGTGCCAGCTGTCGATGATGGTCTGGATCGTCGAGTTGTCCAGCTTTGCCGGGTTGTAGGTGCAATAGAACTCCACGAGGGCGTCTCGCGTCGGCAACGTGGCGTCGTACTCGGTCCGGTCGTTCGGGTTCGACAGCACCGCGTACGCCGCTGGTACGCCCTCCCACCGCGCCAGCGCTTCGGCCGACGGCTTCCTATCTGGATGGCACTTGAGGGCGAGCTGGCGATACGCCCTGCGGATCTAGCGCGGCCAACGAGACGCAGAGCAACGGTAGCAGAGATTAGTGAGAGACTGGCAGTAAGTCGGCGCTCAGGTCAATCCCACAATGCACGCACTTCTGTGTGGGAAGCACCGCGCGGCACGTTGAGCAGCTCGTAGTGGTCCTTGTACAGCAGCTTGTCCTTGTGCGCGTCACCCGACTGCGCCCTGTACTTCTTCATGTACGCGCGATGGTGCTCCATGTCCTTCGCCGACAGCTTCGTCTTGTTGGTCCGACTACCTGCCATCCTCAAGAGCGATCGATCGAGTCCGTCTGCTCGTTCTTTAGCTGCCAAAAGACTTTTTCTTTGCTGAAAAAAAACACACACACACACAGCTGACTTTCGACGGTTATTTTTTATTTTACGTGGAAAATAGTCAGCAAGAAGCTCCTGGCGGACCACTACTTCTGACTGACGGACGGATGGACTGAAGGTGGGACCCACTATCATTCCAAAACAAAGAGACACGCGCCAGCGGTCGCCGAGAGCCGTAAAAAAAGCTGTTGAAGCTGCGGACGCGAAGATCGGTCGTAAAGACCCACATGATGTGTGTTTGACTTGTCGATGAGTACGACCAGTACCTACACCTACTGCTTGTGCTCGTGTGCTCACTTGGTGTAGGATGCGGTGTGGCCCCCATCAGAGGAGCGGAGTATCTTCTATCGAATTGGCCTCCAACAGGTCATCCAGTACTGGCGTCCACCGAAAATGGTCAAAATTGCTCGTAAATTCCAAGTCACACCTTTGCAATCACAAGTCACACCTTTGCAATCACAAGATAGCACAAGCTATCAATCAATAGTCTGCCGTAAACACGGAGATCTTTTCACACTTTGGCTCTTTTCTAGCATCATGCGATGCAAATCGAGCACTGTCGTCAGCGACAATGCGTTCTGTCAAAAAGAGGCCCTATTTGATCTACAAGTCAAACGTGGATTGGGTGATGTGTACGTTGCAACCATAGAGCCAAGGGTCGCGGAGAACTCTAGGAGCAGACTGGTGGCTTTTACCTAAGATACGTCGAGCAGACGGCAGCATCGTGTAGGACGTTGATGCTTTCACTCCGAATAAATCGTTTCCCCACGAGTCGGGTGCCGCATTTGCACTCGGTGCACTGCCTTTCGTGTCCTCCTCTATCTTTTGATTCTCTTCCAGGATTCTTGTCCTGGTCGGCTGCGTCTGAGCACTCGCATCCTCTTCGATGTGCTCATAGACCGAACGTCGACATGGGATCCTGTCAACGCAGCTGACTGAGATCAGCTCCCGGCTCATTCTCCTCCTCTCCTCAATGCCCAGCGAACCACCTTTCGTCCACTCATCTCCATGGCAGGTTGGAGAGGCAGAAGGCATAACAAACGTCTCCGTGTGGAGGAAGCAATCGACTATTGGGTTGGTCAAGACTTCGTTCTTGGCACTACCGACCAGTGCATGACACCGAGTCAGTTGGTCAGCTTTGTCAACGTCGCTGACCTCCCCGCGCTCGTCGCAACCGATCGCGTGCTGCAGATTGTAGCAACTGTAGCGCCGCTAAAACACCGAGATGATGCCGGTATGCACTGGCTTGATCTTGTCCGTCGTGTGTGATCAGAGTGGCTACGACTTGGCATCAGCAAGCTTCAGTTCAGAATGCAGCGCGACAGCACTTTATACGGCCTGGCACCCTCCTCGTGATGTGGACGGACCACTGTTATGTACAGGGAGACACTGTCAAGCCGCTATATACCTGCAGCTTTTGCAAAGGTCGAACCACATGGAATAGAGTGAGTGACGTGGCTGGCGCTGTTTTGAGCACACGTCAGACCTATCCAGGAGGATAGATGCGAACTACCTTGTCAACAGTCTGAACATTAGTAACCTCGGGGCTGGTTTTCTGCCTCGTGCTTGATCCTTTGGCTTGTTCGAGCAGCGATGTTCCTGTTGTTTGCAACGATCCGTTTTTCATCAGCCAAACTGATTCTACTTTTGTAAACTACCACGCAACCATTCGATAACGTGCGAGACATCCGCTGGGTGCTTGAAACTTCCGTCTAACGAACCAATAACGTATCGGAGTAGCACCTGAATGCTGTTCGCTGAAAACGAGTCGTGAGTTCTCGCATTCCAGAACATGAATGTGATCAGTCGCCTAACAAAGGTCTACCGTCTGGTCAAGTTCGAGACGTGAACGATTTCCCCTTCGTTTGCTGCCAGGATGCGCATCTTGGCTTTTGTCTTCTTGGAAACGAAATGGGTCCATATGGGACCGAACCTGGAAACACGCCAACAGCCTGCCATGCATCCTCTCTCACGGGCCGTTGATAGCGATCATGGCCCCTCAACTCCAAAGTCAGATGCTCACAACGGTGTTGAATCAACACCTTGTCGTTCAGACCCCACTTGTAAGAGCCCGAGACAGTCACGGAATCACTCATGCAAACCATCGATCCCATTCCCGATGCGGTAGACCTATCTCCACAGAGTCGCGCACCCCAAATGCAATCCGATGTCAGCCTGAGCAATTGCCGTCACAGCGATCCGTTTCCAGTCAAGGAGGGAACGCATCCGTAATGTCTCATAGTTGTAAATTCGCGTCGTCAACGTCCCTGTGAAAGATTATACTCGAGCAGCCATCTTCCCCTTCCCACAGGCACAAAAGCGCCTATCCACTGTCAAAAATCACAGTACGACCCAAAGTTCGAGCAGATATTTGCCAATACGTGTGGCCGTCATGATCTCGCGCGTCGGTCTCTCCATCGCCGCCCAGAGCAGCTCAGTCGCTCGAGCAGTACGTCCTCAGCGCTCTCTTCTGTCTCTTTGCACTGCAGTGCTGTCCCGCATACCATAACACAGACGTTTTGTTTGGCGTTGCGCTGCGCTCCAGCTCTCGACTGCCGCTCCCGAGACGTATTCCTTCGTCCAGTCGCGTATCGCGTATCGCAATGAGATTGCGGCACTGCGGAAGGAGTTTATGGAGGAAGAAAAACGCCGCAGGGAGAAACTCGCACGGGATGCCGAGTACGTACTGGTAACGAGAAGGAGAGAGGAGCTGTTGTTGCCCCGTGGAGGAAGGCCCAACAGGAGCAAACAGACCGACGGATCGACTGATGGAAATGGTGTCTGGTCGCCTTGTTGATTTGCCCTTCTAACGCACGTGTTCCGACCTGTTGCGCTGTGCAGAGCTCAGCGGCAAAAGATTATGAAGGCCAAGGCCACTCGTCTGGAGATCAAGCGTCAGCAGCAGGCGATTCGAGCGAAGGAGGTCGCCCGTGAAAAAGCCATTCACGACGAGAATGTCGCGTACGTTATTGTGTTGCTGCTGGTTGTAGGCGCAGCGGTACGCGCTGACGAGATGTTTCGACTGGAATGACGTGTAGGAAATATTTCCAAGAAAAGGTGGTGGTGCGTCAAGAGCGAAACGCGGAAGTCGAGCGTCGTCGTGAGGCCCTCGTGGCGTCCCTGCGTCAACAGAGCGCAAAGTGGACGAACCAGGACAACTACACGGAAAAGCTGAAGGAGGACGTCTTCATCTACTCTCCACAGCAGATCTCGGCTCGCGGCTCGTTTGATCCCTCGAGCGCGTCGGGCAGTGCTGTATCATGGCTCGAGAAGCTGCAGCGCATGAAGCCTGTTGGAATGCAGGACAGCCGCAACGAGGCTGCTGCATCTGCCGTTGCGTCGGCAGCGGACGGACTGGATGGCACCCACGATGCCAGCCACGTTGTCGACGAAGATGACGCCGATGCATCGTCGACGCCAAAGAAGGACGAGGAGTAAAGCCGCTAGTACGGGATAGAAGAAGAAGAAGAAGAAGAAGACAACGACAATGATGAGGAAGAAGAGGACAAAGCAGCAGCAGCAGTTCTCGACGTCTGACACTCGCACACGTATTGTTTTCTATCACTAGTACAACAAACACCCGATCGACTGCGTTATGCGAGTCACAGCATTCATTGCATGTTACTTGGACCCTCTTTTTTCGTACTTAGCAGAGCCGCCACGCGCCGGGAGATCCGATATCTTCCGATTGTATCCCGCGGCCCTTGACGAGCGACTCGATGGCGACGGCGGCAGAGGCTTTCCAGGCAAACGCAGCGGCTGTCGTGCGCGACTACTACGTCGAGCCCCGAATCGGTGCGTCGCGCGCTCTCTCTCTCTCTCTCTCTCTCCTTCTCGCTGCATTGCAAACGGCGTCGCGCTCCGGGAAACGCCTCTTGTTCGCTTCTCTCATTGCGACCGCGTGATTAACAATTGATCGACTGCTCTGTGCGTCAGATTATCGTACGATTTCGGGCGTAAACGGCCCGTTGGTCATTCTCGAGAACGTCAAAGTACGTACGACAGACTGATGGCGCAATGCTGCGGTCGTTGTTGTGTTTCGTAGAAAGAAAGAGTACCTGTGGATGGAATGGGCGGAGAGATCGACTCGTTGCTCACTTGTGCGCCCGGTCGTCTCACTCTGTCTCTATGTGTCTCTCTGTCTCTCTGCTGGTTGCTGCTCTGTAGCTGCCCAAGTTTGCGGAGATTGTCAACCTCACGTTGGCCAGTGGCGAGAAGCGTCAGGGCAAAGTGCTCGAGGTACAAGACACGAAAGCGGTCGTGCAGGTGTTTGAGGGCACAGATGGCATTGACAACCGCCACACGCACTGTGAGTTCACGGGTGACGTGCTGAAGATGGCGATCTCGGAAGAGATGCTCGGTCGGGCTTTCAACGGCTCGGGGAAAGCGATTGACGGCGCTCCCGCTGTTGTGGCCGAGGACTACCTGGACATCGAAGGGCAGCCCATTAATCCGTCGTGTCGTGACTATCCCAAGGAGATGATCCAGACGGGTATCTCGGCAATTGACGTCATGAACTCCATTGCCCGTGGACAGAAGATTCCGCTCTTCTCTGCTGCTGGCTTACCCCACAATGAGGTGTGTGGCCGCGAACCAACTAGACTGGGTGCTAACCGAACGAGTGTGCGCTCTCTCATGCCTGTTGTTACCTGTGCCCGATTGTGTAGATTGCCGCACAAATTGTGCGCCAGGCAGGTCTGGTGCAGCGCAAAGACGTGATTGACTCCCACGAAGACAATTTTGCCATTGTGTTTGGTGCAATGGGTGTCAACATGGAGACGGCCCGATTCTTTCGTAACGATTTCGAGGAGAGCGGATCTATGCAGAAGACGGCGCTATTCATGAATCTAGCCAACGACCCTACAATCGAACGCATTGTGACGCCGCGTCTGGCGTTGACTACTGCTGAATACCTCGCCTACGAGCGCGATCTTCACGTGTTGGTCATCCTGACGGACATGAGCTCGTACGCCGATGCCCTTCGTGAAGTGTCTGCTGCCCGTGAAGAAGTGCCTGGACGTCGTGGATACCCTGGCTACATGTACACGGATTTATCGACACTGTACGAGCGTGCTGGCCGCGTGACGGGCCGCAATGGCTCGATTACGCAATTGCCGATTTTGACGATGCCGAACGACGACATCACGCACCCGATCCCGGATCTAACGGGCTACATTACTGAGGGACAGGTACTGAATTACACGACGCTGCCACCCCAACTGCACGAAAAGACGCTCACGTGCATGCCATCCGTTCTTGTTTGTCTAGATTTACGTCGATCGTCAGCTACACAACCGTCAAATCTTCCCACCGATCAACGTGCTGCCGTCGCTGTCGCGTTTGATGAAGAGTGCTATTGGCGACGGTATGACGCGGGACGACCACAGTGCTGTATCGAATCAGCTGGTAGGTGGATGTCTAGTACGAGCCAGCGACCCTCCCTAGCGATCGTGTCACTAACCGCTCATATCTGCTCAAATGAACAGTACGCCAGTTATGCCACTGGTAAGGATGTTCAGGCCATGAAAGCTGTGGTTGGCGAGGAGGCTCTGTCGCTGGAAGACCACTTGTACTTGAAGTTTACGGACAAGTTCGAAGGTAAGTTCATCGCACAGGGCCCGTACCAGTCACGTGATATCTTTGAGTCTCTGGACCTCGCGTGGTCGCTCTTTCGCGCTTTTCCGAAAGAGCTGCTGAAAAAGATCCCGGAGAAACATCTGAACACGTATTACGCGCGTCGGACGCAAGCGCGTGAGGAAAAGGAAGAGGTGCGTTTCGAAACATGCCAAATGCTGCCTCCTCACAGTCCTGATCGTAGCTGACACTATGACCGTTGTTGTGCTGGGACCTGTAGTGAGCAGCAATCTTGACCGAACATGTTTGCAGTACCCTTGCAACGCCTGGACACACCGACGGGAATCGATAGGGGAACAGCCGACGAGGGCTGACATGGGTCTATCCTAGCTTTGCGCTTCTCCTTGTTGGTCCATATGTGATGAGATCTTCAGGCAAAATAAAACCTTCTTCTACCCTGAGGGACTTGCTCGATACTATTAACAATCATTTACTTCACTTTCGTCTCCGTCGTCGATCTGCTGGCGGGTTTGCAGGCTGCCACTCGGGATCGGTATGCTGAAGCACAAGACGACACTGTCGAACACTGAAGTGCCGCTTGCGACACGATTCACACATCCGTTTGAACTCGGGCTTCTTAGCTATTAAAGACGGCGATTCACACACGTACGCACAACAGTCAGTCCATGTTTCTAGCGCTGTAATACAGTGACGTGATAGCGTACCTGGAGGTCGAGTAAGCACTACAGTTCGAGCGGGTAAAGCCGAGTGCAACTGTGGCTGCCACGGCGGGATCGGTAGGAACCCTGCAGGAGGTTGCGGATAAAACAACAGCGGCATGGTCTCGGAAAAAGGATACAGCTTGTTGACCATGGAATGTGCTGGTGGTAGCGCGATCTTGGGGACACTGTGTCCGCCCACGCTCGGCTTGATCTGCTTTTCCGCACCAGCAGCGGTGGTCGATGCCTGCAACATCTGCGCAGGAGCTGCCAAACGCGAAGTGCCTGTAGGCATAGCTAACTTCTGAGCAAGCAGCAAGTCCATTGGCGTCGAGGTGCCTGGTGGAGCCGTCTCTTTCGAAGCTTGTAAGAATGCCGCAATCTGTTGATGTGCCCGCAACTGGTTCACGAGCGCGAGCCCGCCACCCCCCTGCTGCGCATCGCTCTTTTCCGCCTGCCCACTAGCAACCTCCAGCATGCCGATCGTGTTGTCCTTCAGGATCGCACTGACGCTTTCCTCTTCAAGCACTTGATGGCGCGACTTGATCCATTGCTCTTTCGATCGCTGCGTCTCGCGCTCCTTCTCTCCAGCTTCGAGGGCTGCACGCAATGCACCGCGCTGCACCTGCTCTCGACTGGCCGCTTTCTCCTTGACGGGAGCAACAGACCATTCAGCAGCAACTGTTGCTTTGTCCTCGACATTGTCCGTAGTCCAATCATCCACATGCGACTCGAGCTCTTCGCTCCTCTGCTGCCCCAAGAGCTGCCACAATCACCACAAGAACGACAACACAACCACACCACCAACAACACACCAACAACTTGTCATGCACCCACAATCAATCAGCTGGTGCTATCCATCCGTTCAATAACAGACCCCTACCGAGTTCCCATGGACAGCATCACCACTGCTGCTGCTGATGCGACCGCTGGTGCTGTAGACGCCGTACAAGGCGTCGATAAACTCGGCCATCTCCATGAGGTCGCGATGCAGAATGCGGTGGTAGCTGCACGTCACGTCCAGTTAGCACTGTCCCCGCACGCAGAACAGCAGCAGCTTCGACTGCCTCATGTACCACAACATCTGCTCACGCTAAAAGGCCGTCGACGTCTCTCTCCGCTTGGCACTCTGCTGTGGCTACGATCAGATCCTCGTTGACGTTCAGCATCTGAGTCCAAACAAACACACACACACACACAGACACGCAGTGGGGACATCAACAGAAAAAAAGCCGTGTGAGGGAGTGGCTGTCGATTGATGCAAACCAGTGGACGACGCGCTACAAAGAGAGTACGTCAGTGAACACGTCCGAGACAGAAGTCGCTCGCGCGGCGCTTTGGGTCTCGTCGTCCGCTGCTGCAGCTGCAGACGGCAGTCTCCAGCGCGCTCTGCTCGTCATTCTGGACAAATCGCATTGTCACAGTGGACGGTATTTTAGGACCCGAATTACGGATAAAGGTGGAGGTTTGTGATGTTTAGGAAGTTGGAGCTCGACGGAACATTCTCTTTGACTCAGAACATTTGGTTCGTTTTGCGATTGTTTGCTACTGGCTTTTGGGACTTCAGGTGTATCAAACGAGACGTAAGACTTTTCAGCGGCTTTTACACTATGTCGAAAAGACTAGGCTTTTACAATTGCTCATATCTTTCTTTTCATGTCCCAAAACGCTTTTTTCGGTTTCTTGTATCGAAACCGAATATTTTGTTATTTTCTTCATGCGAAAAAAGCGTTTCGTTGCCAACCCCCTGCAAGCCGTTTTCTATCTTCTTGTGTTTGTGCTGACTGACGGCCTTCGCGACCGACCGCAACGAAACAAGATGCGCGTTCTGCAACAGTAAACACAACCACGAGACATCCAACGGAGACGTTGCAGTACAACTGCCTGACAGCACTACTCTTTTTGTTTTACCAATGTCAAACATGGCACTACGCATCACTGCGTGTAACTGCTGCTACAAAACCAGACAAACATCCGCCATGGACAGCAATCGAAACACATGCACGTCAGAGTGTGGACGACGAGCGGGCAGCAGCAATTGTCGGCTCAATAATTGCCAGCAAGTAGCCACAGTCCCTGTTATCAGCATATCCCCGTCTTGCGCACAGCAGGCAGCTGGCCAGCCAGCCACTTGACCTCGAACAATCGTCTCTCCTTTACCATCCACTCGCTGTGTCTCGCTCGTCCTGTCACCAGGTGATTGCCACTCAGAACTCTCATTCATACAACGCACGTGACGCCCATTCACTCATTGTGCAGCTGCTGGATCACGTCAAACACGGACGGTCGAGCGGAAGCGTCTTGGGTCAGTATCCACCTGAAAACAATGTGAACACAACCGCATCAACAAGCGAGAAGCTCAAGTGAGAAACTCAAAGTGTTCACGCACTCCGTCCTCCAGACAGCGCGTGGCTATCCATCTCAACGTACCGGATGAGCTCACAGAACTCGGGCGAGTACGAGCAGTTCTTGGGGAACTTGATCGGCCCGAGGACGGCCAAGTACGTGCACTCGACAACGCGCACGACGCCCGAGTTGTAGAACGAGCACTCGAACGGCGAGTACCCGAACGCCATAGCGTACAGCAAACAGCCCAGTGACCACACGTCAGTGGCGCTCGAGATGTGCGCGTCGTCCGGCACGTCGTAGAGCTCTAATTGCAGCAGCCCACAGCTCGTCAGAGAGGGTGAGACCGCGTCAGCTTCAAACCCAATGGACCCGCAAAAACTCACCGGGCGCGCGGTACGCCATCGAGCTCTGCTGGGCAGCGTGTTCCTGCAGCACGAGGGCATCGAAGCGCTTGGAGATGACCACGTCGGCCGTCGTGACCGAGCCAAAGTCCGTCAGAAGTAACTCGCCGTCGTCCGACACCAACACGTTCTCTGGCTGCAAGCAAAACAACGCGCGCGTGACAACGAGAGACGGCCACTAAACGTACAAACTTACGGCCACGTACGTACTTTGATATCGCGATGGGCGAGCGGCGGCGACGCCGAGTGCAGTTCGGCAACCGCTCGACACACCTGCAGAAACAGGTCACGGATCTGCGCCTCTGGCAGGCGCACGCCTTGACTAGGAGCAGCATCAGCGACGGTATCGAGCCCACCACAACCACAGGATCACCACCAGCAGCACGTGAGGAGGCGCCTCGCAAGGCGCTCACTGCCAGTCCACACACACGTCCGTCGTACCTGATTGCAGCGTCGATCAGCTCACGTAGCGTGCCTCGCTGCATTCCACACACAGAGAGAGAGAGAGAGAGAGAGAGAGAGAGGCCGTCAGTCAGTCAGTCAGTGACGACTTCTACTGCTGCTGCAGGAGCTCAACCGCGTTCGACACACACACACACACACATAGAGAGAGAGACATAGAGCCGCACCTCCATGAACGGGAACAGCAGATAGTACTCGAGCGTGTGGGCCCCCGTCGACACGACTGCATAGTCTTCGAGCGGCATCAGGTTCGGGTGCGCGAACGTCTGATGCGCGCGGATCTCCGCCGCCACGAGCTGCGCGTGCGCGTGCGAGGGACACGGAATCTTCTTGAGCGCAAACGACTCCCCCGTGGCCGCGTCCGTCGCCCGGTAGACGAACGAGAAGGCGCCCTGCGCGACCTCTGAGCCAACGGCGACGCTACTCGAGCACACAGACACAGATAGAGAGAGAGAGACAGACACTCAGATAGACAGACAGAGAGAGAGACAGACAGACAGATGTGTGGTGCGGTGCGTACGTACGTTCGGCCGCTCTGCAGGCGGAGAGAGGGCGACGCGTAGCCGAAACACGACAGCAGTCGCGCCGTCGCGTACGTGGGGAAGCGCGTGACGGCCGCACACAGGCGACGCGGCGGCGGCGGCGGCTCAGACGCCACGAACGGCTCTGTCTCCGCCATCGCTCGTCACTCGTGAAAGACAGCGGAAAACACAAGTGACGAGTGGTTCAGGTCCGTCCGTCCGTCCGACGTCTCTCTCTCTCTCTCTGTCCGTTCGTCCCGTTAGGACTCCAACTCGGAGCGCCTCGTGAGTGAGTCTCTCTCTCTCTCTCTCTCTGCTGCGCCGTGGGATGAGTCGCCCCGTCGCACGCGCGTGTGCGCTGACTCAGACAATGGCGCGCAAGAAGTCGGTGCTCGTGGACGGGAACAACGCACTGTATCACTACTTCGATCCGCTCTCGACGGCCGAGCGGTACGCCCCGCGCGTTGTGCTCACCGACTGACTGAGTGACTGACTGCTGTCTGTGTATGTCTGCCTGTCTGTGTCTCTGTGTGTGTCTCTTGTCGCGGGGTCTCCAGTTGCGGCGTCAAGTGCGGCGCAGTGGACGGACTGCTGCGGCTGCTGAAGCGCATGGACGAGACGCACGCGCCCGAACACATTTGCGTCGTGTTCGACTCGACGGCGCAGCAGCCGACAACTCGGCGCGTGCTGCAGCCGAGTTACAAGAGCGACCGCCGGCCCACGCCCGCGTCCCTCGCGCCGCAGTTCGCACAGGCCAAAGCGGCACTGGCCGAGCGCTGCGTGAACTGCGTCGAGTGTCCGGGCGTCGAGGCCGACGACGTGATCGCGTCGTACGCGACGCAGTACACGGCCGCGGGCTTTGACGTGCTGCTCATTTCCAACGACAATGACTTTCTGCAGCTCGTGCAGGGCGACGACAGCGAGAGGGCTACTGGGACTGCTACTGCGACCGCTGCTGCGACGGCTACGGACGTGGGGATTGACGTGGGTCCTGTTGCTGTTGCTGCAGCTCCTGTGGTGGAGCTCTACCAGCCGTCCAAGCGCCGGTACATTCGGGCCCGGAGTCTGAGAGGAAGGTTTGGGCTGGACCCCAAGCTGCTGCCGGACTTTCACGCCCTGTGCGGGCACCAGTGGAAGCACTTGCCGCGGGTCGACAACGTGACGGACGAAGTGGCTGTGCAGCTGCTCACGCAGTACGGCGGACTGTATCCGTTGCTGCGCCAACTCGACGCCCTGGAGGATATAGTCCTGTGCAACACGTTGAAGCAGCGCATCTCGGCGATCGAAGGGTCGTACCGGATCGTCAAACTCATCGACTCGGTCGCGCTACCAGTGGCGATTGCAGACTTGCAGCGGCCTCAGCTGACGTAACGTGGGCGAGAGCAGTCGGGTCGGCAAGCGCTAACAACGTCCGAGAGGCGAAGGCATTGACAAGTAGCGGTGCACAAGCACAAGCACAAGGACACTTCAAGCGGTAAAGTTACTGACCTCAGCGCAATATTTGACCTACTCATGCATCGGTTTCATGCCGCCCGTCTTGTCAACTGTCTGCTGCACTCCACCTCCACCTCCCCCCACAACAACAACGTGGCCTCGTCCAACTGGACCAGCACTTCGCGCCCCGGGCTCTTCTTGTTCGCGCTCGTGGCCATCACTATTCGAGCCACTACTCTCTCGAGCACCACCTGCCCGCGTCATCTTCAACAAGTCAAGACGCTCCTTCGCGCGGCGGTTTGCGAACCACGTTGCAATCTGCTGCTTTGTCACGCCAGTAGAGTCTGCCGAATGCTCGTCGGTATGGTCCACTCGGTTCAACACCTTGAGCACTTCCTCCAGGCGGGCCACCGTTGGCCGCGGATTCTTTTCGTACTCCTCGATGATCGTCGCAAGCTGCTTCATGTTGAAGACCCGCCCTGCGTGTACGCCGCCTGCCGACTCCCCATCGCTGTCGACCGCCATCGCTTCCTCCGTCTCTGCGGCTGACGCCCCAAACGAAGCAGACTGGACAGGTGTCTCGAGTTTGAGACGCTTGACACTGCGCTTGTCGTCTCCTGATGGTGCAGTGCGCTTGACAACTGAGCCCTTTTCCGATTTGTTGTCGTCATCCGACTCCGTATCGCTTGCACAAGACGAGCTCGAGACGGCATTGTCAATGTGCAAATCCGCGCCACTCAAAGCCTGGGGAGGCTGGTTTGCCGAGCGACGTTTGTAAAACCAGCAGCGGATCTGCTTGTAATCGATCGACCTCTGAGCGGCATCACTGGACGGATCCAGAGACGCAATCCCGTTTAGCCGGGCAGCGATCTTGTCCAGCTTCTTCTTGCTCGGTGTGTCTTCCTTGTGAAAGTATTTCTCGAGCTTTACCAGCTGAGCCAAGGAAAACTTCACGCGCGGTCGTCGCGACTCTGGCGAAGGTGTCGGACCTGAAGTCGGCGAAGACCCGGGGGTTCCAGGCAGCGACTCCGTCTCCATATTCAACAACAGTGACCGCGGCTTCTCCTTTCGTTTCTTGCTAGCACTTGTCTCGCCAGCCATCGCCGCGACCACGCTCGGTGCATCGCCATTATCCACAATAAAGTTGAATTCCTCTTGCAGCCGTTTCGTCTGCCGCACAAGCTCCTTGTTGTCTTTGTGTGCAACCAGGATCAAGTCCAGCTGCTGCTGAATGCCTGATTCGACCAGGACGGTGTAGGGAATAATGAGCGACAACAACAGCTCAATGATGTCGGTGAGTTCCTCGGCGGGCGCGTCTTCCTCCAACAACTGCAGCATTCTCATCTTAATATGTGAGACTTCTTCTTTGCCTAACGGCTTCGACGGCCCCGTGCGCGCATTTTTGTAGGGAACGTGCAGCCGTTCTCGCGCGCGTTCAATGGCAGCAGTGCGCAGCGCTTTCGTTTCCTCGTCACTCTTACCTGCGTCACGCGCGTCTTTGATTGCCTTCCTCACAGAAGCCACGTAATCAATTCGTATACGCTTCTTCAGGCTGGTGGACCCAGCCGAACCGGGAAGCCTGAGACTGTCGATCCCTTCTTTGTTTGCACTTAACATACTCAAAGTACCTTTCCCTGTGCCAGGAAAGCCAACGTTGAGCGCTTTACCATGCAAGCTCTGGTCCGTAGTGTTTTCGATCAGAGCCAAATCTGCTGCGTCGACGACTGGGCCCGATCCTTGACCATTCTCGCGCATCCGCGACACTCGTGCCTCAAGCACTTCTTTGGCCTCGTCAATGTAAGCGGCTTTCATCTTCTTGACGCTGTCCGCGTCCATGTCCGTAGTTGAAATGTCCTTCATCTTCAGGCGCATATAGTCGAGACGTTCCTTTGCGCGCCGATTGTCAAACCAAATGCGAATCTGTTTCACTGAGATGCCTTCCGGCTGCAATTCCGGATCCGCGTAATCCGAGCAATTAATAATGCGATACATCGAGTGTATTTCACTCGATTCTGGCCGAGACGAGCGCTGGTACCATTCCTCCAATTTCTGAATTTGCTTCGATGAGTACAAGCGGCTGGCGCCGCTTTTTCCCTTTGTCCCTGTCGCAAACCGACTTGCTGTGCCCGACGAGCTTTTAGCCCCGTTGTGTAATGCCACCTTGCGGTCTTGGTTGGGTATGGCCCTTACTTTCCGGATCAAGTCAACCTCAAACTGGATGCCGGTGACTTGTAGCTGTTCCAGTAGCTGCTTCAATGAGTTCAACCCGTTATGCACGCGACGCAACAGGACGTCCTTCTCAGAGACATTTGATGACGCCGTATCATTCCACGCATCACTGTTGTGACCGTTGCTACCGCCTGCGCGTGTGTTGTTCCCGCTTACAGAAACGTGAGTAGCATCGGCAGAACACGTCTGCGAAGAAGACGATGCAGGAACCAATAGGAACGGAGGCGGAGGCAGTTCTTGCGCTTGTGGCTGCCCGGATACTGATTGACGCGTGACAGTACCACCCGGGCGCTCAAGCCAAGCAGAACCCATGATCGTGTCGATCTCCTTTGTCAAAGCTTGCGTGATGTGGAGCATTTCTCCTGTTTGCTCCAGAATTGTGGCATTCATGTTTTTGCCGCCACGCAAGGCCAGGTCAGTCAAGCGCTGTACCTCAGTGTCTGTTGCAGCCCCTAGTGAGCCTTCTAGTTGTCCAGCTTTGCCATCGTTGTCCATTTTGCTTCGGTTTGTCACGACATATGACTTCACAACGCGACTTCCACGATTTTTCGAGACAGACGGGTCAACGTGCTCTTGTTTCTGTTGTCCAGTAGCAAGCGGATCTTCTGTCGGATCGCTTGCTGAAGTCGGTTCGCAGTCCGGACATCGCCACTGACGGTTCGATCCCTGGACTGTTTTCGAAAACTGCTGACGAAAGCAGCTCGTGTGGTACATGCACTTGCACTGGACACAGAGCAGTGCACGTCGTCCATTGCGTGGCTCGTGGCACACTTCGCACTCTTTGCGCGCCGTCGTGCGACGTCGTGCTGCAATGATCGCGCCAACGTTGGACGTGCCCGACTTGAGCGCGAGTGTCGTCGCATTGTCCACGTTGTCAAGACTCGTGTTGCGTAGACTGGACGATAGCACGCGGGCCCCAGCTGCTGCTTCCGACGTCGCGTCCGTCTCACTGGGTGCAGCACGCGCGTTCTGCTGGCTGCTCGTGGCGTTCACCCCCAGAGATCGGACGGCCGCGAACGCCGTGCCCTTGGCCCGCTCGTCGCTGAGCTCGTCCGACCCGAAGCGTTTCAAAGTCGTCGCAGCTCTGCTGCTGTCCAGCTCGTCGTCTTCCGATCGGCCGTTCAGCGCCTCTTCGTCGTCGTCCTCTTCGTCGTCTTCGTCGTCGTCGTCGTCTTCCTCTTCTTCCTCATCATCGACTGCGACCGCTCGCTCTCCTTCGCGAGTCGCCTCTGCACGGCAGTGACCGAGCGCCACGTCGTCGTCCTCTTCGTCCGACGCGTCTTCGTCGTCATCCGACGCCGACTGGAGGTTGCTCTTGAACACCAGCAGCGCCTTCTTGCGCTCCGTGGCGTCGTCCCTCGCGGTCGTTGCGGCTGCCTCCGTCTCCACGACGTCCGCCATCGACAGGTAAGTCAAGTCGCCCACCGCTCAGTCCCTCAGTCAGTAACTCCCTCAACACGTCTGTCCCGTAGCCCCTTCACCCCTCAGTCCCTCAGTCCCTCAGTCCCTTCGGTGGTCGCTCTCTTCGTCGCCCGTCTCGTTCTCGCGCTCTCTCTTTGTGTTGTAAGCAATCGACGGACCGAACGGAGAAGATTCGAGTTCACGCGCTGGCCATTTATTTCGACTGAAAGTGCCATTTGGTGGTACCCACCGCGTGTCGCCCGTGACAGAGCGGAGACGCGTCCTTTTTGTGCGTTTTTTTGGGTCAACGGCTCGTTCGATGCTTTTTCAGTATCAGGCGCCGCGGCGGCAGCAGCAGCTTAGACGTTGAAGCAAAGCGCACATTAGGTGGGGTCGTGAGCGACTTGTGTAGCAGTGCCATCGCTGCTCGATCTCCGATTCGCACGACAGCTCATACTGCACAAAGTCTCGGAACGACCGCTTGTTCGTTTCGTCGACGTCGATCGTCAATGATCTCGAGACGCTGACCGTATCGAGCGCGCAGAAAACTATCACACGGCCCCTCGTTTTCTGCAGCGTTCTCGGCCGGTGCACACAAGGGAGACGCGAGCACGGAGCCTGCTTTGCGTCGATAGCGACGGCAACTCGATAGAGGAGCAAAGGAAGAAGAGGAGGAAGGAGGAGAGACGTCCTGAAAAAGACGCCTCAGAGGCGTAGAGACCGGTAAGACTCGTCCTGGTCAACGCGAGGGTGGACGCTCGGAGACGCTCGCAGGCTGTTGCGACAAACGAGAGACGGCTTCAACGGGAAGGAAGCGAGGACGGGCAGTAGGCAGACATGGCCGATCACGACCGTTGCGGAGGCTCCGTACGACAACCAAACAGACTTGTGCTGTACTGAAGGAGGCTTTAGAAAGCACGGCACGGCACGTGGCTGTCCGTGCACATCTACGTTCGCGCGTGTGATTCAACTCGGTGAGCACAAGGAAGCAAGACAAGGTGAAGACCAGGAGGGGCCCCGAGCGCATGGTAGACGAGCACTGTCGTTGCAGACGCAGTCTTGATGGACTGATAGGGTTCGAAACCACTGACCGACGTACGCATCGTCAACAGCCGGTAAAGGTCCTGTCGTCCTCGGCGCGTGACATGTCGAGATTTGCTGAATTCCGGCCAGGCACAATCATCCGAATACCCGCACGTGCCCTCCACGCGTCTCGGGATGATTTGGATGACGGCAGATATGTGTTTGTGCACGACACCGCCGTCATCAGCTTCCCGCGCATGATGCTAAGGACAACGCCGTATACCCGATTCGAGTCATCGACTCTTTTGCAGCGAACAAGCCTTGATGCCCCATCAAGCTGCTGAATCAGTCATCGTGATGCTCGGCTACGGCAGCCATTCCACTGGCTGATCGGAGGAAAGAGAAGCTCGATGGCTCTGTCGTCTAATGGGTTGCCCCGACACCAACATAGAGACCAGCATTCGTAGAATGAACGACCCCATGTTGCTGCCCATTGTTTCAGCGTTAGTTCGCTGCGATCTTTATCGAGGCCATTTGGTGCGATAGGACGCTCGAGGTTCTCCAGGCGCAAGGAAAGACGCACAGTTGGTCGCGAGGCCGCAACTGGCCAGATACGAGTCCGTGCGCCGACCGGTTTCCAGCATCATTTGGATTGGAATTGATGCGGTCGACACTCATCGTTGGTATGAGGAATGTGTCGCCATGAACACGTGTGCCTAGGACACCGATACGAAGTCGCCCCGCAGACGATCGTATCGAATGAAGTGGTCACATGTAGTACAATCGTCGGTGTCAAGAAAGACCAGGGTATGTAGTAGGGATCTAGCATGATGTCGCGCGCAAGTAGAACATCCTAGCAACAGGTAGATCGCCATATGCACAGGTAAGTCGCCAATGGGTCTGAGTTACAGCGGTCCGTTCTACACATTGACAAAGCTCACGGTCGCAACTTCTAGACGTCCATCATATACTTCAGTTGATAGAAAAGAGCTCTCTCTCTCTCTCTCTCAAAGCATTCCGGAATAGGAAAATGACTCGAGACCGATATACACGGATCCGTTCGGATTGGGATTGGCAGGCGTGGAACGGGCTATGCGCTATGAGGTGCGAAGTAGCGTGACCACGACAACCCCTTTTCTTCTCGCTCTGGAAGATCTGCCGCGACTTTGAAAGTCCGGGTGCGGATGTCGCGCGTCGCTTCCAAATTATCATTTCCATGCGAACTGAACCCCCGAGTTGACAAGCACTGGGGCTATCAAAGGTAGCCAGCGAACGTTCAACTTTTTCGAGGCCATCCTGACGAGACGTTTATGTACGCGCAAGTGAGCGACGAGCCGTAAACGGAGCAGTGTCACCGAACCAGCTTTTGGGCGCAGCAAATTGAGTAACGTTCCTGCGTGCGGACATCACCATCGAAGGAAGCATCACGTACTTCCGGGAAACAAGTGTGCGACACACATCTGAGCTATCGCAGAGCAAGAGTAGCGCTGCGTCAGCACGATAGTACAAGAATCACGTGTCCTGTTATGCCAAAGCGTCCTTGCGGGCGATGTCGACAGCCTTCGCTGGTGACGAGCCCTGCACAACCACCGGACTCGGGGAGGACTCGGCGATAGGAACCAGGCTAATGATATGTCAGCCATCCAGCAATCACTGGAAGTTCAAGCGACATGTCGGCCTCTCTCCTATCATATGCTGGGTACGCCGTTGTGACGAAGACAGGCCGAGGAGACGACGGGAGAAATTTCAGGAACTAGCTAGCATCTGTACAGTGCCGGCTCTATGGTTGGAGCCGCACAACGAGCGGACTTGTGGTCTGCATTCTGCAAGTCACCCACTCAACGTCAAGCCCATCGAGACAATGCAGCCCCTATACATCATGCTCGTGGCTTCATCCCTAGCACGTGTCGACAGTGCCACGGAAGCCGCAAGCTCAAACGCTGTAGCCCACCATTACCTAGCAACTGTCCACTCACTTGCCGGTAATGAGGACACTATCCTGCCCGAGAAGTTGCTGAAGTCAAACGGAACCGCGGCGGACGACGGAGTGAGGACGATTGGGGGTGCTGACACCGTGGCGCAAAAGATGATGGCACTTTGGCCAAAGATGCAAGGAAAGAGTTGGAGCGGCTCGTTCAGCAAATTATCGAAGGACGTACCTGCCACTCAAGACGGTGTCATTGCCATCCTGGAACACGCAAAGATGAAGAATCTGGTGCGCCTCTACCCGAACAAAGACCTGATCACGGAATTTGTGACTATGCTTGAACACGATCATCTGGCGCTGGCGCTGGCGCTTGCTCGTGCAAAAACATCGCCCAATACGGATGTCAAGGAAATTGCAGAACTCTTGTCGAAACAGCATTTTGAGCTCTTGCGTAAAGACGTAAAAACTAACGCTGGCATGTTCGAGTGCTTGGAACTCGACAAAACAAAGGCGGAAGAATATCTCAATTTTGACCTGAAGATAAGCGCCTTAGAAGGCTTCATCGCGTCCCGTCGAGCAGAAGCCGTGACCGATAAGGGCAAACTGAAGATCAGAGCCTCGGGCGATACCATCGCGTCCCGCCAAACAGAAACGACGACCGAGAAGGACGAACTGATAGAGACCTTGACGGAAGGTTTTGGTGGCTTGAACGAATTGTTACGCGTCATAGATGGCGCGAGACTGTCGGGGAATATGAACGCGCTGTCGACGGCGAGACGTCTGTCGCAAAAAATGCATGTTGATTGGGATAATCGTATGATATCACCAGCGGATGTTGTGGTCTTGTTGAAGCTAATAGATGGACCGATAGCTTGGACAGGTGAGAAGCTGAGCACTCTTTCAGCGTACATTTCATACAAATCAGACGTTTTGCACGCCACGACGCAGCATTTGTTCGATGTACTATACGAAGGGTTTGAAAAATTCTTTCGAAGTGACAAAGAACTAGCTGCCATGCTGGTACGGATGATGCCGACGTCAACAGATCTACTACGTCTGCTTTTCGCCCGTTGGATGAAGATTGACAAGTTCACCCCGGACAATGTGTTTGGCAAGCGTTTACAAAAACTAGATCGCGAGGACGCAGATCAGCTGCAGAAGAAGTTTGGTAAATTTTATGAAGCAGAACTTGCAAAGAAAGAAAAACCTATGCCGACTGGTCAGTTACAAGCGCGTAAGATGTATCAACACACGCCTGTTGGGTAGGAGGTAGCTCCACGTTTAACATTGTACATTTCAAATATATTCATTACTTAAAGCAATCACCAATATTTCTTTTAGATTCGCATTTGTTTGTAAGTTACACCGTGGTGTCTTGCATCGAGACACATGTTCAAAACTGCACAACAACAAACGTGAGGCCGAGGCACCTTCGTGCATCTACCGATCTACCATCAATGCCGCAAGCGATACCACTATCAAACTATGACAGAACACAACAGCTTCTGCTCTTTGTAAAGCGTTAGCCAGTACGCCGCCACAACTCCGAAATAAACGCTCGATGCAGATGTCCAATGCGCGAGCGGCACGCCACCACAAAGATTGTGGATGGGTGCAACGTATCGTCAAGAGAGCATCATCTCGATGATACGTTGCGCCCGTCACACTAGTCACGTGGTAGAGACTAGCGCAAGCATTGCTAGCGAGGCATTATTCGACTCTGCTATCCAAATTTTGCTCCGCGCGCCAGTGCCAATATTACAGCTCAATTGAGACGATGCTATACTTTGTGCTTATTATGAGGTTAGAGATAACTTCTTTTTTATGTTGTCGCTTCAACCTCGGCTATTTTTGTGGGTTTTTACCGATACAATCAATTTGCGCTACATTTCTAGTAATTTTTTCTATAAGTCTGACGATATTATATATTGTCTTAATTGACGATACCATATATTGTCTTAATTGACAATGTTGTGTAATGTTTATCTTCTTAAGTAAATATTGATGGAATACTGCCTTCGAAGGTAATATTTCGCACCGCTCCACTTGTTGATGGATTGGGGCCAGTAGATTAACCTACTAAACCATCAACCGCTGCTAGACATGCGCAATACATGCTGAGCGAATAGCTACATTTGATATTTTTGTAGTTTGAGACAGCTGTAAGTAGAATCGACGGAGGTTTTATAAGAGGTGAAGCGCTATTAAACAGTTTTCCTTTTTACCAAGCGTCTCTGCTCAGAAGATGATCTTTCCTCTGCACGTACTGTACACGTGAGGTTGCGAGGCACCCTGCCTGCACGGTGTCAGTGCATGTTACTTGTACAGTGCCAGTACAAGTGGAGGGTGCTCCGTCTAAACGGAAGTGGATTTGCGATGTGTGGAGATGTGACCACTTCTACAGTATCAATGTGAGTGAGTGAGAAAGTGAGGTATATTTGGGTACGCTTACGACCTACTAGATCCCGTCACCCGGCAACAAGATTACCGGGGTGACTGCTACTTTATATACTAGATAGCACTAGGTCTCGAACATCAGAACGCCTACGCGCAGACTCCTGTCGCGAGATGATCAGGTTCCTTGGTGTCAGTACGGGGCCCTGTATGACGTATTGTTCGGCCTGGGAGGTCTCCAACCAATGATTGACATCAGAATAAAGGAAAGTCGTGGCCTCCTGGACTAGAACGGGGTTAGAAGAAGCGTGCGCTTGAACCAAAGCTCCTGTGTCCATAGCGATATTCGCCAGTCGATCCGCCATTTTGTTGTAGGTGCGATAATGATGTCCCCAGCTGGAGACATCGATATTGTTAGCGATGGCGATTGCTTCGGTGAATAACTGCACTAAGTGTTGCTTGCGTGGAGGATGTCGTGTTCGGAGTTGCGCAAGCACAAGGGCGCTGTCCTATATGACATGCAGGGCTAAGTAGTCGCCGGTCTTTGATTGCCGAAGACCGTGGACAATCCCCCAGTATTCAGCGATATTGTTAGTAGTATCGAGAGAGGCATAGGCCACGCTCGCTACCCACAAAACGCATGCTGCGTGCGTCGGAACGTGGAGTCGGACAATAACAGATCCAGCTCCGCCTGGACCTGGATTTCCGCGGGATCGTCCATCGAAAAAGAGGAGGTAAAGCACTCCTGGGCACCGCTCGATAGGGCGTACGCGCAACAAAGGAGGTTCGTCGGAGCAGAGGAGGGTATCAGCCAAGGCCGACCGTACCTGTTCAAACATTTGCCCGTCCTCCCCCACGTCGGGCTGGTAGGTTGATCCACAAAACCTTCGAAGCAACCGGCGAAAGATAGTCTTGGAGCTAGCTGTGTGAACATCCTGTGATAGAGATGGGTCTTCTGTGGTGGAGTCGATATCACAAAATCGTTATGTGAGGGTCGATCTTCCACTTGCCCAGACTTGCCGACTCACGGAGGGGGCACTCCGATCCTTGCCTTGTTGTATAGCCTTGTGCTCACCCTGTGTACCTGTGGCAAAGTCGATCTCAAAAAATCGCTTGTGTGAGGGTCGAACTTCCACTTGCCCAGACTTGCCGACTCACGGAGGGGGTACTCCGGTCCATGCATTGCTGTATAACCTTGTGCTCACTTTGTGTACCCGTCGGTTGGGCTGACTTGACCTCTTCGTAACGGCCTTAAGAGATGTCGATCTCGCTGAGAGGTTGGGTTGAGAGTTCGCTTCCGGTGCGGAAATCTTCACACCACGAACGGGGTTCTGCGATCTTGGTCTTGAGGCGCGGCGATCTCTATTTGAAGATGTCGCGATCTCGATCTTGAATCACACCGATCTCGATTCGTCTTCGGGATCGGGAGCTTTGCTGTGCGGTAATCTTCACTCAGCAAATAGTAGTATTGCGTCGATCTTGCCTTGGGATCGGTCCGATCTTGTCTTGGGATCGGCCGATGTTGTCGAAAGTGCGCAGTGTAACAGATAGGCCTTGCGCTTCGCCATAATGAAACGTGCCGATCTGTCCGGTAGATCGTCTTGGTCTTGCTCGGTCTTGTCTTGAACTCCTTGTTCAGATCTTCTACTACTTGAGCCGTCTCGCGATCTTGTGTCCAAAATTCTTCTCCTTTGTTGTGTGGCTGCTACCCTAGTAGCTGAGTTGAGTGTGAGTACTTGATCGATCCGGGCCAGATATCCCGAGATCGCTCTTCTCGATCTTGGCCAACAATCCAAAATCGGTCTTCTGTGTCCCTGTAACACGCGTGCCTTGACCCGCCGGGGAAGCCAAATCAATCTTGCCCGGAGAAGAGGGGAGGAAAACGTGCGTCGTGAGAAGAAGAAGTAGAGTTCAAGTCTGTTTATTAACCAACCAAACAAATATACAACCTATCTTCAAGCCTATTCCCATCTGTAGGTCACTCTCCAAGTCCATATCACCTTTAAGCTTTACCGCCCCCTTGAACACGTGTCGAAATTTCGTGACCTGTACTCCAAAGATAGCGCCAATACTCCTGGTATCGTACCTAGACACCAAAAAGGTACCAATTTCCAAATACGGTACCAAATACCCATTTTTGGTACCGAAAAGTCCAAAATAGTACTCAAGATGTGGAACGTGTCTAAATCCATTTTGCGACGTCAATTCGACCGGCTTACACTGGCTTTTTCGATCTGAACTTTCGGGGAATCACTCATGGACCTCCACCAAGCATGTTTATCACGATCCAACATCTCCATCACCGATATATCCATAGTCAGTAGGGAACATGACCGAGGTCCAATTCGAGATTGTTGAGGACCGACACAGTACAATCCGTCCATATATGTTCTTCCGTCCATTTAGCGTACTCCGAAACCATCCTCACGGGTTTGTCTGCTCAATGGGGCCATCCGCAGTTCTTACAACGGTCTCACGGGCTCCCACAAACGTCTACACTTCCAGATCGGTCCAGTACTAACCTAAATCAGTACTCCCTTCGGGGAGACCAGTAACGAGTGTCACCGATCTGATGGATTTCGGCACCTTTGTCACAGAGTCACCTCATATTGCCTGGTCCCCGATGCACCTTTCCCAGAATAATTCTGCTTCAGATCGGTTGTTTAATGCAATCCAGTCCCTTGTCTCGGATCGCACCGTTGAAATCATTCCTTGTCCCAGATTGTAGCGTGGAAATCATCCCTTTTCGCGCCCCGTCTCAGATCGTTCCATACCCATCAATCTGACGACAGTTGGATCAGATCGTCTTTCTCTGTTGGGATCGCCTCCCATCTCTTATTAGATCGCCAGGTCCCATGGTCTCATTTTCCACCAGTAAGTGACACCTTAACTGGGTGGTCACCGATCCACGTCTCATCATTTGATTAGTGACTTTACCACAACCTCCCCCTGTACTGAAGTCCGTTTAGGCAGCAATCGGCTTCAGTCCAGTCATTAATCAACTTCGTTCCAAGCACTCAAGTCCATCCCATGACCTCCCCGACGCGTCTCCCCACTTCGCCGACCCTCTCGAACAACTCCACTATGGTTCTGTTTTCGGACTGAGATCGGCCGTCCGGCTCACCAGATCACGAGGAGCATGCTTATACAATTTAGGATCGGCCTAGGTCCCCACGACATTCCGGTCCGGCCGGATCTCCTCCTTTGCCCAGATCGCCCGATCAAGGGGAACGTATTCCCGCCGTGCTAGATCGGCCTGGGCTCCCCAGTCATCTCGATCTGGTCGGATCGTTACCGATTCTCGTGGGATCGCCATACTGCCCGCTAGAGTCGATCGCCCCTCCCCTCATCAGCTCCTCTTGACGCATTTGGGTCCGACACACTGGCCACTAGTGGGCTTCTTCGTGGGTCTACTCCAATTGTGGATACCAACGAGCACGTCCCGAGAGTTTCCGCCGACGACGTTCATCTTACGTTGGCGACGATCTCATATTAATGGGATCAAGAGGCCACTTTCCGCAGCCAAAAGGATACTATCCACGCGCTTCAGCAGTCACACCGAGAGGCTGTCGCGCGAGGAGATCGTCTGCAAGAAGAGATCGATTATCTGCACCGATCAGCCGCCCCATTTGTCTCTTTCGTTCAGCGTCGTTACAACTTGATGCAATGCCGGTATGTCGAAGCCGCTCTTTCTTTGAGAGACTGCCGGCTAACGCTGCGGACCCGTCGCGATCAGTCGGCGACGGTTCTTCGGTTGAACGATTTGTTACGCGCCAGCGATCAAGACCTGACCCTCTTAGAACAGCAGATGAGGACCGTGAACGCGCAGGTCCTCTCCCTCCGAGCGGATCGCAACACCCTCCGACATCAGC